CCGTCCCCGCCGCTGCCCTCGCGCCCGGCGTTGGCCTTTTCCCGAGAGCGCAGGCGGCCGTTGCCGCCTTTGAGTTCTTTTCGTATCCGTTACGTAACTTTTCTTCTCCGCGGTGAGCTGTGACCCGAAAGAGACTGCGCCGCGGGTACCTTCGTATTCCCAGGACCCGCGCTCTGGCGTTCGCTGGAAGCGTTTCTCAGTGCGTTTGGGTGCAGCTTCATCGTTCTCGTTTGACTGTGTTTTGAGACAGCATCTTGCTGTGTAGGTAGGCCAGGCTGGGCCTGAGCTCACTGTGCACCCCAGGGAGCTCGTGGCGACCCTCCTGCCTCAGCCTCCCCAGTGCTGGGATTTCAGGTGTGCGCCCCCGTGCCCTCCTGGGTGTCGCCTTGTACTATAAAATGAGCTCTCTCCGAAGTCGTTGTGGTTACTTCTGGCTTGTGGGTACAGTTTTGGGGGCGAGTTTTGTTGCTTAGTGGAGAACGCAGATGACTGCAGACAGGAGCAGTGGCGGTGCTTCGTGTGCCAGGACCTCGGAGTCTTGGTTGTTGGAGGCAGTGACTTGGCTGTGGTTCGAAATCCGCTGGGGGCGGAGATGCGCTGTCATTATCGCACATCTTCTGCCTGCCTGGCGCCGTGTAGGACGTCACTCATGATTTGTTGGTGCTCAATCATCTATTTTATTCAAAGCAAAAACAACTACCTGTGCAACTCGGAAAAAATATTTTTAATTGGTATATAGCTTTCAAAGGGCAAGAGGAAATTTTGTATGGCCCCAGCTCAAAATGATAATGACGATACTTTTCTTTTTACTATCTTTTAGGTGGCTTTTTCTCCAGTATTTTTTCCAGCCTCTTTGGAACCCGGGAAATGAGGATTTTAATTTTGGGATTGGATGGTGCGGGGAAAACCACAATTTTGTACAGATTGCAGGTCGGAGAAGTCGTCACCACTATTCCTAGTAAGTGCTGTGTGGTGCATTAACTGTTGCTTTCCGGTGTCCGTTCTAATAAAGCTTCCTGAATAACTATAAGAAACTGATCCTGTAAACTTAGGAACAGCATGTGGAGCAGTTTGGTGGGACGAGGACCCTCTGTCCCGCTGCAGAGCCGGCTGAAGTTTGACCTAAGTCACGGAAGCTGAGAATCGGTGTCTTCAGCGCTAAAACAAAGCGAATAGGTGTCCGCAGGCTGAGGGGGAGGTAGATGAAGCTTCGGACAGTACCGTGCAGAACTCTGGGAAGTTATATAAACGTTAGAGACGCTGTTGCATGGAAAACGCCTTTGGTCTGTATTGCCACGATTTGAACGATGGTTTCTCTTCAGTAACTGATTTATTTTGAAGATCTACGTTGTAGGTCGAATGTTAGACACTGGCACCTAAAAATAGCCATACCTCAACTTCCAATCGATTGTTGCTGTGTAGAAAAATATTCTTAACTAGGCTGGGGATTTAGCCGCACCTGCCTGGCGAGCGCAAGATCCTGAGTTCGATTCCCAGTACCGCAAAACAAACAAACTAAACGTGTCCAGTAGCCTTGTTTGCTGACACCCCCTGCCCGCGTGTTGGTGGCATTTGGAGCACAGGATGCGTCGCTCAGGATCGTTAGGCCTGGTAGTTACTGTGCAGGCTTTCAGAGCTCACGGCCAGGCCAAGGCGTCTGTTTTCCGCCTGGCCCCTCCCCTCTCTGGCCCCTCCCCTCCCCTCTCTGGCCCCT